AAGGCCTTCTACAAATCCTAGATTAGTTCAGCTGACTTTGAGCAGGTGACTGACTTGTAAAAATGAAAATAATTTCTAAAGTTCTTCACAATTCTACTAGTTCATAGTCCGCTAATGCATACTTTTTGTTTCTGAGGAAAAAAAAAAAATCAAAGGAGCTCCACCACATCATAAGAAAAATGTGGATTATACTGGACAAGGCTGACAGTGGAAAGATTTTATCCATAACCATGGCTGTGAGCAAATCCAAAAACAGTACAGAAATGAAGGTTAAACAGATAAGGGACACTGTGTTATTTACTATTTTTAGGGGAAAAAACCAGTAGCTTAAAAAAAAAAAAAAAGCAGGTTCCTAAAGGATTTTCTCCCCCAAAATGGCCAGAACTTCCCAGGGTAATTTGTTCCTACATGGAAGATGCCATCATGCAAGGTTTAATTGCTCTTAATAATAACGAGCACACTCCAGTCATCTCTCACTTTCTCCCACAGAGGATCAAGTCAGCCTCTCAGTGACCTACTTCGTGAGTCATAATTTTTCTGTCTATGATTCAGAAAAATGTCTTCAGTCAGTATTTCCCAGACTACTGTGGGTTTATTCCAAGACCCAATTTCATCTTCACTGGTTTCCTACAGGAAACCAGACCAACTTCCTATTATTTTATTTTCCTTACTTTTAGCATACCATAGCCCACATCAAATTAACTGGAAGTGAGAGTGATAGAAGACTTTACTCCACACAAAGAGAAGCCAACACAAACAATGCCCAGTCTAGAAGTCACGGATTTGAAATTAAGTACAAAATGAGCTAATATTAGAAACGTCCTTCAAAAGAACACCAAACAATAAGACATTTCTTTTAATTAATCATGTTGCAAGCATTTCATCATCAGAAAGAATACTTTCATTATTAAAAATGTTGTCTGTGAATACAATAAATATGACAGTTACTAACAGAGAGATATTAATTATAAGGAATAAAATATGTCCTTTCCAGTCTGATTCTCTAAAAAGCTATCAGGAAAACAGAAAGACAACTGGAAGCCCAAATTCAGAGCCTGGACTAGTCAAGGGTCAGAACAGCACCCCCAAGCTGTGAGCAGTCAGCACCCCAGAGGCTTTATTCCATCCCTTCCACATGCCTATGAGTCAAGCTGTCTTTAAATCACAAAATAAAAAGAAGTACAAAACGTGGAATTTCAAAAAGCATGCCAACCTTGGCTTGTATTCACACTATTTCTCTAAAATATTATGAGTAAATGAGAAGTATTTAGTCTCGCAGACTATAAATTGCCTGAAAAAAAGAAATTTCTGAATGGGAGGAACTTTGGTATAAAGGTATATCAGTTTCTCTTCAGACACTTTCCATTCTCACCATTCCTGACTGCAGATACAATTTTGGGCTATAAAAGCTCATAGAGTCATTAATTGATGAGTAACAGAACTACTTTACAATAAACTCAACAGATGATACATTGGAGGAAGAAAGTCTAAAAGGAATACATTGAAGGCATATACTCTACATGGACAAATGGAAAAACATGAGACACAAGAGCAACTCTGTTCTCAAGTGGGGCCCATGACCAGGGTCAGCCTCATCTGGACACGTCCTAGAAATGGAAGTTCTCAGACCTAACTAATACAGGTCTCACTCTGGACCCAAAGGATCAATGCCTCAGCAGGGCCTGGAAACCTGCAGGGAGTACTGATGAAAGCTTAATCTGTCGGAGTCTATCAGGCCACCAGGAAACATCTAGAAAACAATCCACTCAACTTCTGTTCCTCTCTCTACTCACTTCTAAATCCTTGTGCTCTGGCTAACTCCTTTCCACCCCACTACTAAAATGCCCTGTTTAAAAATCACCAGTTGGGGCTGGGTACATAGCTCGGCATCATAAGAGCTTGCCTGGCAAGCAAAAGGTCCTGGCTTCAATTCCTAGTACCAAAAAAATAAAAAATAAAAATCGCAAGTCAACTCTAGCCTCACTGCCAAACCCCATGACCTCTTCCTGATCTTTTCTCCCCTAGAATCCTCTCATTCTCGTGCTTCTCATCTCCTCCTTCCTTCTACGAAGCTTAGTCTTCCTCTCCTCATCGTCCAAATACAGGCATGTTCCCAAGGTTCGGTCTTCAGGCTCCTGACTCTCTCCAGGCAATACCTCAAGGAGGCGTCACCTTTGCACCTCAACTCTCATGCAAAACTCCCAACATATTTTAAACTATCTCATGATCCACATCATCTAAATGTTCAAGTAGAACACCATGCAATGGTTTCCGGAGCAATGCCTGGTCCCCTGAGCACTAAGGCTTTCTTTCCTCTGATGAGCACATTGCGAGGGCAGAAGTCTTGCCTCAGTTTCTAATACCATCACCATCATGTGACAGCTTCCTACAGCTTCACCAGCACCACTGTAACTCTAGAAAACTCTGACCTTTGATACTCTCGTCTGAATATAACACTGGCACCAGGACACAGCGAGGTAGCCCAGGGTCCTCTCTTGCCCAACCTTACATTTCTTGTCAATCTTGTTTCTGCTCAACCCATCACCCCAGGGCTCATCGTGCTGCACACCCTGCATTTTCTCCATTCTAACTCTTGGCTTTATTACTTCCATTTCAACTCTGCACTCCCCACTTATTTGTAAGTGCTCACCATATACTTTAAAGAGCTGAGCCAGAGCCTACCGGTTCTAGCACCCTCTGACGGAAGTTCTCTTTCGCCTCTGCTACACACCCCATGTTAGCCTCTGGCACATACCTCAAGTGACTGTCTTCAACCAGAACCCTCCCTAGCATGCAAGGGTTTTGCACATCTTATCCTTCACTACACCATGCACGATATCTGCAGCTATTAGGCACTTCACAAGTACTTGCCCAAGGATTAAATAGCCTTACCAACCAAAATTCTTGAGGACTACTCCTGCCAACTAAATGGCCTACAGGTAAAGCAGCCAAAGTACTAACAGAAAAAAAAAAAAAAAAAAAAAAAAAAGACAAGTCAGAAATATAGCAACTTAGAAGAAATCACCTCAATTCCTTACATTTTTCTGTTGCTTACAGTATAACCACTCCAGAAAGATAACCAAACACTATTACATTCACTGAAACCAAGAAAAATACAACGTATTTTTTTGAACTACAAAAGCATTTTGGAGAAAGAAAGGGACCAACTGATTTGACACTAAAATGACAGAGGCAAGGCTGGCTGGCTTGTTCTCTCCCCCTACCCTCCCGCACTGAAGACTGAACCCAGGACCCTCACACTCACTTTATTCCCAGCCCTCCTCTTTTAGGAGACAGAGTCTTGCTAAATTGCTAAACTGCCTGGGCTGAGCTCAAACTTTTGATCCTCCTCCTTCAGCTTTCCAGATTTCTGGGATTACAGTAGAGAACCACCACACCCAGCTGGGAAAGCTTTCTATAAATAAACTTTTATAAAACTTCCTGCATCTTCCTGCTATTCTGGTTTATGGCTTTTAGAGGTGATGAATTATTTTGATTACAGAAGAAACTTGTTAATTTTAGGGAAATTGAGTAACTGAGCACTAGTTCCAAAACACTGTATGGTCTGAAAGCACTCTCTCATCTAGTTATGAAGGGTCAAGGAGCAGCCAGATAAATAATAATGTGAAAGATAAACTAACTGCCTCAGTTGGGGAAAAATAAAGTCTTCATTCCTGGAATGACAAAGAGTTACTGTTGTCTCTGTAGTAAAGAGGATTAATAATCTCTCAAGCACAGTATGCATAACATACCTTTTCAAAAATGGGAAAACACATTAAGAATTAGGTAGGAAACAGTAATTACTAGAACCTAGAGACCCTGAAACCTTTTTACAGACCAAACTTTAAGCCTAGTAGTAACACATCCTCGCAGACTGAAAAAAGGAAAAGGGCTGAGGGCACACCTCAGTAGTTTAGCGTATGATTACTAACACCCAGCACCAAAACAAAGATGGGTGTATTTCTTTACTAGAGCAGAAGCAGGTAAGAAGTATCTTTACGACTACTATGCAGTCACTACATTAATAGGAAATGTATTAAGAGATCAATGCTAAATTTTTAAAACATTATCAATTACAATTACAATCGAATATTTCGTTTACTTCTGTTTACAATTTCTTCTTTAACAGAGACACAGAAAACACTCAGCTTGGATCTGTTCTGTGGAATAAGGGATCCAAAGGTATATGAAATCACTGTAAATACTTCTCTATCTTTGTTCACTAAACAGCAAAACATGCAGAGTTTCAAACTTTTTAAAAAAATTTTAGTTATATTTCTAAGCTCCACGAAGCACCGTGAGTATCTAAGCAGAACTCACATCACCCCTGGCTTCTGCTTCCACTCTCCCACGGGAGCAGCAGGACACTGGCACAAAAAATCTGAGTCAAGCAGGTCATGAGAAGCACCTCAGGTTTACTGCAATTCATTCCAGAGAGACCAATCAGAAGAGGTGAGCAGAGCAGCAGGGAACCCGGGCACGTGTGGGGCCTCACGTGGAGGGAGAAGCAGGACGCTGATGGCGTTGTCCAGGGGTTGCTACCACTCACAACAAGTGAGTTCAGCTAATTTTAATATATTATTATGACTCAAAACACATTACTCTCCTAGCCTGTCATAGAGTCACTACTAAATATTAGTATTAAAATAGCCTAGTAAGTTACATCTTCCAACATTTTAACAAAACACTTCATTCACAGAGTGATTCTAAATGGCAAAAAGCACATCTGACTGTGACTCATGACCACAGTGAACAACCCAAAATGGACAAAAACTGCTATTTTGATGTTAACAGTAACATTTTATTACACTATTCAACAACTGAGATCATATCTTTAAAAAAAAATCAACATTTGGATATTCATTAGGGTAACTATCCAAACTAATATTAACGATGGGACCAGTGGTTGTGTTACGGAACTGAAAAGCAGCAAACACAAGTAAAATGCAGAGTACAGCGGGAACACAGCCAGGGAGACCGTGGTGAGGAGAATAGCTTACTTTGACGTGGCTCTGGGCTCCGAGGTTGTAGATCTCCGTGGGTTTCACTTCATTGATGATCTTCACAAGGCAGGTACTGTCAGTGAGATCACCGTAGTGCAGCTTCATGTCTGTAAGATTCAGAAACAAGCCATTAGATAGAAGAAAACAACAGAATCCATCTTTTACAATATCAAAATTGAAATGCATATTATAAAAGCCTGAAAATAAAAGTCAAAATGAGAATGTTATATTGGAAGGTTAGAAAAGAGTGTAACTGTCAAAAGAACCTGCAGAGTAGAAAGATATTTAACAATGTTCCCTCTGTGTATAAAGGGTATATAGTGGTAAACGCAAACTTGCTTAAAAATCATAATATAACAGATGTTTTACAATTAACATTCCTCAGAGCTCAAAGTAACTTTAAGATGTGTTACAAAGGAGTCGGACAAATCAAAGCTTAAGACTAATGTACTTATCCTCAAAAGAAATCAGGAACACACACTAAGTGATAGTAAAGATGGCTCTATATTTGATACTTGTGTTTAGGTACTTTTCTCCAGTGATTTATAGGTATATCATAGAAATCAATCTTTAAACTGCCTATGATATCCTTACATAGCAACATTACTGGTTAAAAGAGAGCTAACCCATCACCGCCTACGTCCAAGCTACTCCTCACACTGACTACCACGAGTGTAAGAATTTAAGATGTACAGGTAGATGATTTGCTAATTTGATCATTTCATTACTTTTATAAAATGCTGATTTATAACTACATTCAATAGCAGTAGTGTTCTGCAATTTGTACAACAATAATACCAAGTGAACATTCAATATTTGAAATGCTCTGAAAATTCAATATTTGAAATGCTCCAAAACCTGAAACTTATAGGAAGTAACTGATGACATGATATTATAACTGGAAATTTTCATACAATGAAACTGTTTCAAATCCACAAAATTATTTAAAAGATTGTAAAAATCATCACTGGGTTATATATAAAATATATATGAAATAAGAGCAATTTCTATTCAGTCTTGAGTCCTATTCCCAAGCCATCTCATTATGTATATACAAATATTCCAAAATCTGAAAAATCCAAAGTCCAAACAACTTCTGGTCCCAAGTATTTTGGATAAGGGATATTGAATCTGTAATAATCTTAAGGAAAGATGCACTTATAAACATAGACATTAGGGTGGACAGCCTTTCCTATGGAAAATTAGATCACCTTCCTGATATCACTACTTACACTACTGAACCTTCAAATAGTCAGGGTCCTGCAGGTAAACGCAAAATCACCTCTGGTCTACAAGCTGACTTAACTGTCCCTCTGGCCAGAAAACATGGCTAAGTAATGCAGGCTGACCTTGGAGTCACAAATCCCACATCCTAGTCCAAGTATGCCCTCTTCCTGGTAAACAACTGGTATTCACAGCCTCTCTCTGCCCCCATTCCCTAACAAAATGCAAAATGGTCTCCCTGACAGGCCCAGCGACTGCTGCAGAATCAGAGAAAAAACACTGTAAGGATGCTGTGGTAATCACATGGATATACGCAGGCAAACTGATTAGCAAAAACAACAAATGACTGCAAATTCTGTCAATGAGCTACAAAACAATTTAAATACTGTTTTGATTGCCATTGGGTTTTGGACTTGTCTTCACAAATAATTTAAAAAGTTAACTAAATGTGGAAAGCCCATTTAACTTGAGTAAATCAGACCAAAAGTAAAAAAGGAAAGTTTTCTTTCAATATGGAACTGCTCTTACTTGGGGGACAAGGACACCTGGGCAAGGATGATCAAAGGCCTGTCTTTCCTTGTTTCCTCCAAGCTACCTAAGATACTGAGATGATACTGTGGCCCACGCAGTGAGAAACAACAAAGATTTTCATAAAACACAGGCCTAGTCAAGGCAGTAATTCACAGGTAAATAAATGTGACTTGATGGGCTGTAAGGAAATATGACATTTGAAAACACCCTATCCGAACATAGACAATTACAGAAAGAGATTTTAGAAAAACAAAATCACTTACTTCCTTCAATATGCGCCTGGGGATTCTTATACAGATGTTCAATTCGACCTGTATTAAATGAACTGGATCTCCGAACAATTCCATGCACCTGAGTTTTAAGTGTGGAAAGACAACAGTTAATCATAAATGCACAATGAGGGGTAATAAACATCTCAGAAGTTCTTTTGCTAATGTATGACTTTATGAAACAACAAAAACATTACTTATAAACACTACCTTTAAACATTAGAAGTAGCTCCACTGCTTATTCTCTCTGCAGTCACTGCCAGCCAGCTTCTAGCACCTCACCTCCATCTTTTCCCTGTGTTTTCACTGCCAATCTCAACAAAAGTAACTAGATAATTATGTGACTTCACACTACACTGTAGATATTCAAATGTCTCCTTCCCCAAACACACACTTCCAGCCCTACTGCTGACAAAAATATCTCTTTGATGTAAAACTGAAGACAGAACACGTGAGGCTGCATCTGTGATACAGCTCCGCAGCCTGCTGCCCACGGAGCAGGGGCCGCCACATCGCCAGCGTCCTCATGGCTCCCGTACTGCATCTATTATTATGTGTATCACTAGAGCCACAGATACAATCAGAGAGCAGTTGCTACTACGCAGCTGTGCAGGAAAGTCAGAAGCTGAACTGCACAGATGACGGGCATGATTGACTTATTACTGGTTTTAAGACATAAAAAGCAAAAGCAAATAAAAATAGGATTTCAAAAACTTCTTTTTATCTTGACTTAGTCACAATTAGTGTGAAAGGAAAATATTGCTGGAAAAGAAATGCATACCTGTCTGATACCGAAGAAAAGACTATTTGTGTCTGATATATAAGAGAAATTATTCCAGACCTGGTCCCACTTCCTTCTTGTGTCAAAATTGTTGTGTCAAAATTGCTCCCTTTGTGCTGCCAATGCCAACACCAGCTTACACCAGCTGCCCACATTCCAGTTCCACTGGTGGCAGTTTTAATCTTGTACTTATTTTAGAAGTGTTCCTTCTAATGTTGGGTAGGTTCATTTGCAGCTGAATATACTTCTATATTTTACCTCAATCATTTTCTGTCTAATTCAGACCAAAATTAATCCTTGGCATGAGTCAAATATTCCAAATGCAAGAAGGAAATTATAAGCACATAAGGCTTGCTTTTAAACAGAAAGAAATGTCATCATCATTTTATACGGCATACATGAGAACTGACTTCTGCAAAAGCTACAGCACAACCACAGTTAGCAACTCTGTTGGTTAGCTGCTTTAGCTAAGAGAAAAGCATTCATCAACACTACTTTCCAAAAGAACAAATCCCAAGTTGGTAAATATAAAAATATTTTAGGAAGGGAACACTGTAAATTTCATTGGCATTTTAGTAGGCAAATATTAAAATCTAGGAAACATTAAATTGAGATTTGACTATATATGGGCATTTCTTTATTTAGAAATGCAGAAAATAATGGTAATGCTAAACTTAAAATTTATTGTGCTTCAATCTAACTTTTCAACTTTTCAGTTTTAAGGTTGAACTGCTCTATAAAATTAATCAATTTTCTTTAATAAAAAGCAATTTCATATATCTATTTATATACATAGAAAAACCTGGTGTTTTCCATGAAAACTATTTCTGTAATACAGATTTCTCAAATACAAGTGCTTTGTTTTATTTTATAGAGAAGAATTTCTATGTTCTAAAAATGAAAATAATAACATTATTATTTAAATTATCTTCCATTAATCACTGACTTCTTTGGAAGTCACATTCTAAACAGCCCCAAACCAAAAAAAAAAAAAAAATACGTATGTCATAAAAACATTCAAGATATCACAAAAATATTAATGATCTTAATGGATTCCGTGTAATTAGCAGATAACTACAAAAAGTTACAGTCAATCAGTAACACAGGATCTCAATATCACACTTAAATTCACTACTTTTAGAGAATTTTCCTAATGAAAAAAAAAGTGCTTTAATTTCCCCAACCTCCCAGCTTCTGGAATACGTATACAGGGAAGTAAAGAGCTGCCAAATGCTTAATCTGTGACAGCAAGTATTATTCTAAGAACTAATGAAAGCTGAGTCTGTCTGCTTCTGAGACAGGTAAAATGCAAACTTCAAGACAAGCCAAAATGTGTGCAAACTCTGTAATCTAGTTAAGAATTTGAGATTAGCAGCTTTTTCTTTACAGAAAGGATGCAGGTAGTTTTTTTTGTTTTTAAAAGGATTTGAGGAGAAAAAGAGACGGTTTAGAAACCAGACTGAAAAGATACATGAGCTAAATGACTTTATATAAACTTAATCAGAATCATTATTAAATTATAGTACTTCAAACAAAACATAATTCTGAAAAATTGAGATCTTAAATGGATGTGGGTGCTATGACAAACAAATTTCAGGTGCCAGTTAACTAAGTGATCAAGGGGAAAATTTCAGGTTCTTTTCATGTCTGAACAAAGTTGTTTTGACTTCAAAATCTAGACTCAGATTAGGCATTATTACAGTGAAATGTTTACGTATTGGAGTCAAGAAAAAAATTCTTTAAAGTCTAGATTGTTTTTGGAAGCAACAATGCCTCCCAAGGATGGTTAATGCCACCCATCTTTTGAAAAGTATAGATTATCTGGGTCAGTGGGATGAACCTATGGCACGCATGCCAAAGCAAGCCGTTTTAGCATCACTGCTGCAGGGGCTATCAATACCAACAGCTAACATACGTTCTTACAGCTAGTACATCACCGTGTTCCCAGCAAGTACACTTTTACCCTACTCTGTAGCTGAGAGTGCTGCCTGAGCTCACCCAGCCAGTAAGCGGTAGTCTTAAAGGGTAAATTTGGTCAATCCTGCTGGTACTCAGTACAGTTTCAAAACAGAATTTTAAAAAAAACCAAGGCCTTTTTTCAAATCAAGGTACACAGGATTCTGAAATAACCAACGTCCCAGAAAAAGAATATTTCAGTGATTTTCACAGATCAAGAAAGTAAGTCTAGGAACGCAGCAGTCAAACAGCTTCTCAGTGATAACAATCCTTGCATCCCTGTTTTTCTGCTTTTCTACTCTACCTCAAAGGAAGTGGCTGTGGGTACTTTCCTAGAAAGGACATTCACAATGGACATATACTTTATTTTAAATTCCAACATGCTGTTTCATTGTTCAGTTATTTAACCAATTTCTTGTATGTATCTAGATAAATGTCTAGTCTTAAAGCATTCAACTTAGTCTTTGTTTCTCTGGCTTTTCCCTATAAATGGACAAAAAGGTACCTTGCTGGTGATATGCCTGCCACTTCTCTGTTACTGGCAGTACTAAGAAGGCACAGGAAACTAGAATATGCCACAAAAAGGTTCCCTTTGGTCAATTTTCCTTTTTCCCTAACAGTGGGAAGGAGCACACAATGGCATCTTAGTAATGCTAATTCGTGGGTTTGACCAGGGTGCCTTCTACACTGTCCATGCCCACTGGCTTGCTGTTATCAGACACTGTCTCTCTGTCACTCCTGCAGCACTAAGCCCCTTACGCTCCACAGGCTCCCCTGGCTTGGGTGTTTTCCATGCACCATCTCACCTAACCTTCATGACCCCCTCAGAAGACAGGTGTGCTCATCACGCCATCTACAAACAAGGACACTAAGTTGTAGAGGAGGTGAGTAATTGTTCAAAGCCACAGAGCTGGCAGCTGCAGAGGAGGACTAAGACACAGGCCATCTAGTGCCGCAGTCCCAGGCCTCCCTTTCCATGGTGGGTTGGACTACTGGTTCAGCTCCTTTTTCTGTGCTGGTCAACCAGGTATAAAGAAGAATGGCCCTTCATACTTCAGCAAAGCACAGAATTACGTGCATGAAGTATTTACAGGGTAATTTTCCATATAGCCTGATAACTCATTCTCTTCATTGTGAGAGGGTATCTGCAGGTATAATAAAGGATGAATAATGTTGTATATATTGTCTTTATGTTTTCCTTAAAGTCTAATCCTGAGTAAAATCCAAGACAAGCAACAATAACAATAACAATTTTGAGTCTCTTCTCACTGAGAACTGGACCAAGGATAAACCACCTACACTTAGCCTTCCATATCAAGACTGTATCCATGGGTTCAACCAATCTCAGACTGAAAAAAAAAAATTTTTAACTGCATCTGTGCTGAATATACAGACTTTTTCTTACTATTATTCCATAATCAAAATATCTATTTATATGGCATATACACAGTCTTATTTATTGTATATAACTGGAGACACATGTAGGTCATATGGAAATGTGTTATTGGGGGATGTGTTGGAACTGGTCCACTGAAGATACCAAGAGGTAACTTTATTTGTTTGTGATACAGAGTTCATTTCAAATGTGAACAGATAAGTAGATTTCAGTGGCCACATTTAAATAGGCTCCAAACCTTCGGAATCTAAAATTCTGTTTGCTTCTCAACTACAGAAGGAGCAAAGGAGTGGTTGACTGTGCTGTGAAAATTCTGCAGAGAGTTTGCTCTTGCTTATTCTACCCAGCATTGCTGCCCCATCAGCCTCGGGGCCTTCCAGCGGGCCGCTGCTTCTCCAGACAGCACACACTTCCCTCCCATTCTAATGCTGGCTGGCTGCTCCACTGCTAGCTAGCCAAAGCACGCTTGCTTCCTTCCTACAAACAGTTCAACACCAGCAGCAAACCTCTTCTTCACTGTGTTTATCTGATCCCAACTTGCACTTTGCTACCTGAAAATATGTTGTTCCCAGTCATTTCTGAGGCTTGTGATAGACCTGACTCAAAAAAGCTCAATGAGGCCGGCCCCACAGATTGATACCACCTTATGCCACCTTGTTACCCTTGTGGTTAAATCAGTCACCAGCCCTCATGAGAACCTTGGGCAACAACGATCCTCTCCACTTGTCATCACAGCACTGCGTCAAGCCCATCCTCAGGGCCACCGCTGCCACCATCCTCTTTCCAGTCTCAGCCCCCGTGTTCATGTCAAAGACAATCTCAACACCCATGCAGCTGGAGCGCTGCTGCTGTCACACTGCCCCCCTCCAAAACTTCAACCACCACTGCTGAGCTGGCTTCTGCTTCACTCAGGCCTCGACCACCCCACTGGCAACTGGCTATCTCTGCAGTCCCACACCTGAAATGCAGTCTGAAGATGCCCCTCTGCCATCCGTTTTATTATTTATTAAGGTTAGTGTGCCTGAATATTTTCCTAAAACATTCACTTGGACCGACTACATATGATCTACTCTTCAACTCTCTTCTCTGTAGAATGTACATTTATATCCTCAATAATTATAGCAACCAATGCATGGACACACGTACTTTCCAAATAACATTTGTCTTACTTTGATATTGCAAGATGCAGAACTTTTAGATAAGAGTACAAAAGGTGCTACATACATGTACTACAAATTTTGAAGGTTTAAAAGTCAAAACTATCAGATAAAATTTTGAATTATGGTAAGAAAATTAATTTTCATTTCTTCAGATCTCACCAGTGTGTAGATGCCAAAACCCTTGCTGTTGCTTTTCCATTTGCATGTTTTTCATGTACTGTCACTACAACTAGAATAAAGAGACAAGGCAAAGCTACTAATAAAAATAACCAGGCAAAACAGCTTAGAGCCTATGGACCATTGTATAGGTTTTTATTCTCTGTAAGGCATAAATTGTTACACATGCACATACCTGAGGAGTGTTCCAAAAAAGAGCACAGTGTACATACTATACTACATCAAATTTAATATGAAAACCACTGTTTCTTGTTAAGGAAAGAACAAAATGTTGAAGGAAAAAAGAAAAAAGAGGATGAAGACAACAGCAGCAACAAATCTAAAAGTTTCAGTTACCATAAAATATATGGCTGCCCATTAGAAGGCAAAAACCTCCAGGTGTAAATTTTTCATTCAAGCTTGCCAAAGATCAGCTTGGTTTTTATTGCTCTATGCAGTTTCCGAATTAAGTGACTTCGCTGAGAATGGAACTTATTTATGTAACACATTACATCATAAATTAACCCTCATAATGTTGCAGTTTGGCTTGCACAGGCTGCTGCTTTATCTAACAGAGAAAGTGGGAGGCATGTGGAGAGACTGAGCCACCAGGGCTCCCCAGCAGATAAACAGCACAATGAGCTGGCAAGACCATAGGCCCAGCAGCACAACCTTCCCCAGATTCCGATTTGTTATCAGTTTCCATGGAAAACACACACAGGAGGACCGCAGCAGAGGAAGCATGAGGCCACCAGTCCTGGTAATCACACCGCCCAGTATCCCACTGAGTTACTCACCTCATAGCCTTTCTCCAGCAGGAACTCAGCCAAGTAAGAACCATCCTGGAAGAAAAGGAAAATCGGGAAGCGTCAAACTCATGGTGGCTGATGCAGACCAGACTAAGACTTTGGAGAAAAGCATGTAAAAGGTTACTTGAACAAAGAATTAAGGACGCTGGCAACCAAAATAAAAGTACCTAGGATGACAAACATGTGTCATCCCAGAGCATTTTTCCAACTGTCAATTCATGAGGGCTTTACAGAAGAAACAGGAAGATACAGCAACCCAGGAAAGTAACAGGAGGCAAAAGAGGGTACTTGGGATGCACTTATGAGTTGTGTGAGGTAAGCACATAGAGCAGAACACCTGGGTGTGCAGGAATATCCAACTGGAATATAACAAGCGGGGAGTAAAACAGGAATCTCTGGGAGGTAATGAGACCTGGGTGGCTAGGGACAGGGAAGAACAAGGCGAAGAACAGGCAGAGAGGACAGGAAGTTAGAATTACTGAAACTGAGCCTATCTGGGGTCCTTCCAAGTGCTGCTAACCTTGAAGACTCCAAAAAGTCAGAGAAGGGGCTAAAATATTTTAAGATGTATGTGTGTACACTCAGGAATGGGAACACAACCACATCTGTATCATTACATGGACATCGATATCACGTGAATTATAATAAAAATAAGGATATAATTTTTATTAAATAGCAAGTACTTCATTTGCATCAATCTTAAATCATGTACTTAACTCCTAACTGAAGATGAAAGCATCTGACAAAACACTGAGATTCCCAACTACTTTGCAATAACTGCTTATAAAACATCTGAGCAAAACTCTCTAGTTAAACAGTATTCTGTGCACCATTTTTAAGATAGCTAATTAAGTTACTAAGAAGTCATAAGTTGAGGAATTACCCTTCTAGAAATACACCAGCCTCCTCAGAACATGAGTCGGACATCTATTTTACAATGAATCCTGTATGAATTGGTAACTGGTGGTCAACTTAAAACACCAGCTGAACTGAATCAACGTGGTGCTGAGCGTGGATGGCACACCTGAGGACTGACGCCAGCATAAAAGGAGACCTAGAGAGGAAGAGCAGCATTGTAGGTTCTTCTAAGTGTTGTTATTGTTTGGAGCCATTGGTTCTCCTAGACGAGTTTGTCATGCTTGCTCCCTGATATGAACTCGGCTGTTACCTTAAGAGAAACTTGAGACCTTGTCGCTGAGAATGGCTGCCATTCACTTTAGGGGAGCTCTGGTCCTGACTTTGAGCATCACTTTCTGACTCAGAAGGGAAGGTATGTGCTATTTAATCTCCAGGAGAAGCTTGTCAGTATATACCCAGCTATTCCCATCATCAGAGAAGCTTAGGATCTCACTGTCACTGAGGGTGGCGGGATACTTTTCAAAGGAGCCCTGATCCTTATTTTGAACATCCCTAGGCCTACTGGCATAGATCCTTCACCCCGCTGGCATAGACTTTCTACCTTCCACCAATAGCCTTTGGGTCTTCCCAGTGCAGATCCAAGGGACAGACTTGCACAGGTCATTGTCATGGCCCTGGGCCTTCATCAGCTGGACTTATGCAGGACATTGCTAAGGGATCAAGGCTCTCAGCTGGATTCTTTGGGTCTTAGTGCGTGGACAGATTTCCTCCACTTCTTGTATTTAATTCTTAGGTTACTATTATAAAATAATACTGTAAATTATGTGTTCTGTATTGTCTTACTCTTCTTATAAACCCTTGACTACAGCAAATCCTGTACATGCTCTTCTGCTTTTGATTCTGGTAGAGTCTCATCTATGCCACCCACGTGAACATAAAACTAATGACTGTAAAAACGTACGTTCTCAAAAGTAGTTGGGGGTGTTTGGCTTAATTTACTTTCAAAAAAACCGAAAAGAGCCCTTTGAGTTTCAATTCCAACCAGATATTCCAGGGAAAACAGAGAGGAAGTAAGCTTTACTATAACTTGACCTAAAGCTGCAAATAGAGACCCCTATAGGTCCTGAAAGTGACAAGACTGCCAAGCAATCACTTGCAATACTAATGCAGAGGTCCTGCATAAAATCAGGCCAAATGACAAAGCAGGGCAAGCAAGGGACACATTTTGTGGTCCATTAAAATCTCCAGCAGATTTTCTTCTGACTCCTTGACATAAATATTCTGGTTCACAGACTCATATGGAGAAGAAAAAGCTTTTGGCCTTTTCACGCCAACCTCTCACCGTGCATGAATCTTCTATACTCACTATGCTAACTCAGATCAAGCCAAGTTAGTCTTCAGGACCATCTCAAATGTTCAAATAATCAGTAGTCCTCTATATCAATGAGCAAACAGTTCAGTAGAAAAATATTTGCAGTAAGAATTCTAACTCAAAAATAAGTTGGGAAGCCCTGGTAAATATGAAGTTAGCGCTTTTGTGTTGTTTTGAAGCAATACCATGACACTTTCCATGTTTTAGAATTCTCTTGAAATAAAAACGGGAAATGCTTTGTGTTCCTCCATAGTTACCAAAAAAAAAGAGAGAGAGAGAGACAGCAGAGGTGACTGTGCTGGAGATCCCTGGGGTGGGGAGATCTGTGATTATTTAGAAAGCTGATGTGAACCAGACCTGACCAGCACTGAACTCTGTCAATGAGGTCTTGTTCTTCTCACCCAGGCCACTTCTCAAACTTTCCAACCACACTGGAACATTCTGAACCAGCGGTGGCACCGGCTTCCTCCTCGCTTCCTTGCCAGGCCTGTCCAGCGATAGGGCCCAGCCTGCACAATGAGTGGGAAACGAGCCGAGCAAGGGCTCCTGGTCTCTGGCCCAGGGAGTCCAGCTGGCCTCCCCTGGGGGACCCTCGAGGAGACATGGTATCTGAGAAGGCAGATGTCTGCCAAACCAGCAGGATGGTTGTTTCCGCCTCCCCTTGAAGTGCAGGCTGATAGAGAGTGCCCCAATCAGACTGACGACTGAAACGTCATACCAGCCAAAGCCTGCAGAGAACACCAAGCACTATGCTGGACTCCTCGGAAACCAAGGAACAGACAGACTTAAATCTCCAACTTGCTCAGTATGAATGCAATCAACGTGATATAAATTGCAGCCTAGGCCCAAAGTTTGCTACAGAAAACTTAATAGTGGAGGCAGTACACCAACTGTGACCCCTTTAAACTTAACTTTGCACATAGCTAATAAGGGTATCTATTTCATATTAAAGCTACACTGTTTGAGGCAATCACCACGGCTTTAATACTTTCAAAACAGAAATATTCTGTCTTATTCTCTAAAGAACTCAGTGAGGAAGGGAAGCAGCAACTTGACGTCTCAGGTAACTGAAGCATAGGCGGTTAGCCAACTTGCGGAAAATCATACCACATAGTTACAGAAGAGACCAGAACTAGAATCCAAATCTTTCATGATTTTGAAGTAGGAAATAATCTCCTTCCTCATCCTCTTCTACCTAACAGCTACCAAAACATGTCACCCCCCCCCCAAAAAAAATAATAAAAGACCATAAAGGATTCATTTTCAAACCAAGTGGATTCAGTCATTTTCCATTACAGGGTGTTTTATGGATTAAACAGTGCTTCCAGTTTTAATCAACTGACCCAAGCCCAGAGAAGTCATGTAATTTGAGAACACTCCAGAGCTGAGAGGAGGGAGCAAGGATAGTGAGCCTGAAATTTCCCAGGTCCTGGTCTGAGTGCCTATACTCCCAGGAGGTACAGTGATGTGTGAGGTGGACTTGCCTTGGTGTAGACACATGCTGGAAGGATGTGGCCCTGCCCAGAGTCCAAAAGAGCCTGGCTTTCTTGTGCCTGATGCTTATCTTATGCTTTGGGGAGAGGGGTCACTTTTCATGAAGTACTCAGAAATACCCCACTGCAAGTTAGATAAAAAAACAAAACTCTAGAATTTAACAGTCAGATTTTGACTACTATATTGAAACCACAAAAGACTACATCTATAAAAAGTTGAAGAAAACACAGAAAAGCTTCCCCTTCTCCTAATGCCCAGATATGGCGGGAAAAAGCATTTGCTGGGCCCTCATAGCCACCAAGCCCAAACACATGTACCAGGGCACAGTCCTACAGCCAAGTTCTTAAGCAAGAGAAGCTTGATGTTCTTTATCTCCACAACCTGGGTGCATTTGCAGTCCACAATGACAAATGAAAAGTGACTGCTCTTTTATGCCACACGAGAGACTGGCCCCTTTAAGTTGTGTGCTAAATTAGGAAGCTACATCCTGCATAATCGATGTTCAGGTACCAGTCTGTAGCTTCTTTGAACAGAATGAGATGGTAAGTAAGTAGTACTGGGCTAGAGAATCCATGCCACAAATGAAATAAATCTATTTACATTACCTCAAGCATCAGAAAAAAGAATAACCCTTCTACAAATAAGGAAGTGTCCTTTGTATAGGCCTTCCACGATGTTTCATTCTATTGTAGTAGCCACTTTGTGTTCCCACTAAGTAAATTATACCCTTTAATGACTAAAGACTAACGCTGTTTTGATTCAAAATAAAACCTTTAAAGCAGTGAAGGCAAACCTATGGCACACATGCCTGCAGGTGGCTGTTTGCAACACAGAAAGCTCCAGAATGTTCACCAGCACTGCTTTAAATGATTTAACTATTCACATGTGAACCATCCAGGGGCAGAGTATATTCAAAATGTATTTACACCTAGGTCATGTTTGTAACAAATCACCGGATAAAATGTCTGTCAGACTCACAGAATTCAAAAGACCATAGGGATTCGTTAATCTGACTCTCTCGTTTTACAGATCAGGAAATTGAGATTCAAAATAGTTAAGTGTTTAGTGTACAGTCACACACTGAAGAAGTAGCAGAACTTGCACATGCACGTTACGCCTGTGCGCAAGCGCGCGTGCTCCCACACACACGTGAGAAACAGATCTCTGAACTCCCAGACCTTGGAATTTTACACTAAAAATTACTTAACAAAGCCCCAAAACGAAGAGACTGAAACAGTAACTGCTGAGACTCAAATAAGAAACTGACTGCATTCAGAGAGTAAAGAACAAGAACATGGCAAATATTCAA